TTTAAAATGGCTAATTTAAATATACTGTATTATGGAGGTCCAGGGAACCAGGGGAATCAGCTTGTTATTATACATTTAATGTTTTGTCATTTTAAGTAATAACTGTGCGATTAGTCGCTGGTGCAAAGCGTGAATTCTGTGTAAAGTAGTGAAAAAGGTGTGACTGTTACTGTCATATTCTGAAAAAAATCAAATATTCCAACTCCTCTTTTGGCTCAGTCTTTATTTGTTATTTTTCTATTTAACAATCTGAAAATAAAAAAAACAACAGTAAAAACTTCAAAGTGGCACAAAATTACAGGTTAATATAGATTTCTATATAAGAAAACTCATTTGCCTTGTTCCTAATTCCCTCTCCACATGTCATCATAAGAAAAGGATACACATGAGTCACAGATTAGTCAGAATAAATCTGAATTAGTTTAAACTGATGATATAATCTCACAGCTGTGTTTAAGTTTTGTCAGTGATGATAATTCATCCGTAAAAGTGAAAGCAAAAACCCATGCACGCACTCTTGAAAAATATAATACTGCCACACAACGCAACAAACACACAATTCTGCAGTTCATTTACACTACTACTTGGATGTTGAGTTCCAGCACAAAGAAGGATGCAGTTTTTTTAGTCAGGCCGTAACCCTACTGAGCAGTAGCTACAGCTAAAGCAGTTTTAAACAAAACATGTTCACAATTTGCATTTATTTTAAAAAAACAGTGCCGGATTAATCAATAGAAATGAAACAATATATTCATGATTAAGTTTTTTAAGAATGAGCCCTTGATTTCTACACAGGCAGCAAATCGTCTGGCAGAGTCCACCATGTTGCACTGCTATATTTCTACAGTAGCCCAGAGCAGACAAACCATACACCGGCTCTAAAGAGGGCCTTTAATGTTTTTATGTTTCCTGAAGGACATTGTAGTTTCCCATTGTAGACATTCTATAATTCAGCACAGAACACAGCTCAACTGGAGCAGATAGAGTTTTAGTATTTTCTAAGGAGCACTTGAGGACAATGAAGCTGGATCTCCGACAATCCTAGACATTAGTTGATTAAGCACATTTTTTACTTGTGCACATCTATAACAGTTACATTTGATCACTCTTCATCCACATTTCTTCTTCAGAACACCCTTTAACACCCTTTAACCCTGCTGCAGAGTTTTGCCATGTTCCTCTGTGGGAGGAAATATTGGCTTGAATCTAAAAATACAAAAAAACATGCACTTTGTTGAGTGAAGTTAATTTGCTTTGCTTAAAATACATTCAAATTTTTTGGCAACATTTGCAGTGATAATCTAAGCATTGTAAACGGATGGTTACATTTGTAACCCAGCTTCTCTGAGTGGAGAGACGATCTCTACAACCTACACATTCCATATGTATGGGGACTGACCCCCACGGGTTTACTCTGTAAGACACATCATCTGTGGTGGCCATGCACTGATTAGCCACAGTGGACTTTATAAGCACCACTCGTGGAGAAAAAGTAGCTCAAATGAGTAAAGGCACCAAAGAGATTAAAATATTGATTTTCTATTACTGGTAATCAGTCATAATACCCTACACATTCCACTTTATAAAGTGCTGTTAACTACAATCTGTCCAAATGTAGTGATGATATTATATTCAAATATAAGGATTCAAGAGCTCCTCACCATACAAAAAAATATAAAAGCTGGGCTACCTATTCTAATTGAGGAGATTGTACTTATTGCACTGACCAAGTATTTTTTATTTGGCAAAGTGTGTAAGTTTAAAAGGTGCCATATTGTAAAAAGTGACATTTCTTGATGTCAATTTTTGATCATAAAGAAAACAGATTCCAAGTTTACAGCTCGTATTCGGACACTATGCCTTGAAATGAGCCTGCAGGAGATCTGTGAATTTGCAGTGCGACAATGATGCAGTCACCTGACATCTGCTATATATATATATTATTAAATCTCTATTAAATGCTCTAAATAGTGTTTCTCTATAGATTATATAACCTTCTAATCTTTTGAGTGCAATTGTTATACTGATCATTACATTACTTTCAGCTTGCTGGTGAAATTTTCCCCTTTTGTCCAACATTTTATGTCACTGGTCATAACCAGCACCTGGAGTCAGAACAGTCAGAAAAGGAGACATGGACCACGATGGCACCAGTATCCTGTGTATAGCTGCTCGTCAAATCTAGCCGGATCCCTAAGGTCTGAATTTATCTCTGGCTTTAAGCTCTGACTGACCATTGCAATTTGCCTCTACTTGTGAATTTTACCATGCTACATGTATAGGCTACCACAGCTTGGTAAAGTAGATTGATCATTACACTGAGTCAAACAACGGGAGAAGAGTTTTAAGGTCAGATAAAGATCAGTTGAAGGCTGACAATAACCATAAAGAATTCTGTGGCCTACTTTCAATATCAATCTGTAGTTTTCATTCTAGATGGGAGTGCCTCAGTGCCTCATTGACATATATCAGAAACAATCCTGTGTTATTGAACATGCATTTGGCAAAACTATTAAACCTTTGCTTTTGTTTTGGTACAACAAAAAAAAAAAAAAAAAGGCAGGAAACCACAGGCCCAGTCAGAGCTGACTCACACTGTCTCCTTCATTGTGACTAAAGGTCATCAGCTCAGCCACTGCATTGAATTAAGATTCTGGCAATCACATTATATTAGAATTTGGCTACAGGCTGAACACTGAGGTAAGCATAAAGAATCCCAAATACATATACCCTGTTTTAGCACACAATACAGCCGCACTTTTTTTTCTTTTTCGCATTGCCGTCACTATTTTTTGTGGGAGGTTCATGTGCTTCTTCACTGAGCTGGCTGAGCGGCGTAGTGTTGTCAGTTGAGGGGGACTCAGGAGAGGATTCTGGTTCCCCGGTTTCCCTTCCCTCCCTTTCCTTTCCCTCCCTTTCCCATCTATCTTCAAACACTGTGCCTGCTTTAACCTGCCCATCTTCATCTTTCTCCTTTGTCACAACCTTTATATTACTGGACACATGTACCTTTTTTGTTTTAAAAACTCCACCCCTGCCCCCAGCACCTGATATGAAGTCAGTAGCAGCTGCTCTCTGCTGTGCTTCCAATTCTGACAGGCTGTATGCCAAAGCCATCTGCAGGTCTTCATCGTCTTCTTCATCCTCGCTACCTCCCACAGTCCCCGCAAAATTGTAGAAAGGGGCGGAGCTGAATGACCGATGTGTGGCCTCGGGCTGACGGCTAGGACAGGATCTGTCGGACTTGGCAGGCGATCTGTTCAGAAGTTTTGCCTTCTGAGATGAGGGATGGGACTTTCCCTCTCGTCGGCTTAGCTCTAAAGCCAGAGCCATTTCATCTTCCATGCCTGGGGACAGCACACACAACAGTACAGGTGTGTATAAGGGGGGCTGAAGTAACATAATATGCAAACTCATGCAGTAATACACAACTAAGAGGGGTTACATAATGTATAGCTGCCATCATACCACAAATTTGACTTCATTACCAATATTTTAAATCAACTTACTAGTAATACTGCTTAATACCAGTAATACAGTTCCTGTCTTTGAAAGCTTTGATATGTGCATTTTACAAATGAAACCAAATGCACAAATTAATTTAAATGTTACAGCGCTTTTTGCTTCACACATTTAAAAGTGTAATTTCTATTTGTCCTCAAATTTCCCAATCACTACTGTCAGAGTATGTGGTCTTACCATTAATTAGGACACTCTTTAACACCCCATCCTCCTCAATTTCTACTCTCTCCTGCCCATTCTCCTTTATCCTGTAAGGAAGACAAATACAGAGATACATGGTGGTAGTAAAATATTTCTATCTTTCTTTTGTGTGTGTGTCATGGTATCTAGCACTTGCTATTGCCAGTGTAGGTTTGTAGACAACTTCTGTAGTTCATAAATATAGAACAGTTGGTCAAATAAAATTCTAAACAAGAAAATATATCCAGTTGCATTCAAATGAAAGAGAAAAGGAAATTATTGAATCACCACTAATCTTATAGTATATATACAGTTATATAACATTTGCATGCAAAATGCTTTTAAAAATGTAAAGGAGCTAAAAATGTAAAACATGTAACGTTTGTTTCAACCGAGCTGGACTGAGGTTTGTTAAATCAATATTATTTAATAAAGATGCTGGAAAATATGTTTAAAAATGGAAGGTTTAACAGTTTGTCTTAAAAGTACAATATTGGTGTTTATAGGAAAGACATTACATACTTCTTGGTAGTGGTGCTCTTTCCATTTATGATGCGAGTGGAGGTAGAGACTGATCTGAAGTTGCTCATCCCTCCACCCATGCTCTCCATCCCATCCAGGCCCCCCAATGAAGAGGAGAACGAGGTGAAGTCAACTGGAAGACAGATGATCAGCAAAAGGAAACAAGAGAGGAGACTGATTCACTTTACTGTCATGACTGAAAGTATTAACTGGAGTTGGTAGAAATTAAAGAAAGGTGCCCAAATTCAAATTAATCTGATTATGAAGCATGATTATTAATATTAAGATAATTATCTTATCTTAGCTTAAACTATGTTAGAGATGTTTAAGCAGCTTCTTTCATAAAGTATGTGACTGTTACCTTTGGATGAAGGGAAAGAGAAGAATCGACTGGGGCCGAGACGAGAGGATGAGCCTCCAAATGATGAGAAGTCATCTGAATGAGAGATATTTGTCTGTTACTGAACATGTTATATTTTAGATGTTTTTTTTAAATGGAAACTAGACAATATCCATTTTCTTTACAAAAACATGTAATTATTAGATGACAGGTGATGTTATTCGAGAATGCTGATTTTCAAAGTAGGATTTAACAGCTGTCCTGTTGTTGTATCATACCTGCACAAATTCAGTTTAAATATTTCCAGCTTTAATTTTGGATCTTTTCACACATGAAAAGGAAAAAAGTAGCTTGCTACTGCAAACTGTAATTTGCTCACATGCTCTTCTAACTTATCTGTATGAGGTTTTGGACAACTTAATAATGTCTGATATCTTCTTCTACTCCCACCATGCTCGTACATATAAAGTATGTTACTCTTATCTTACTCATTAACGTAATGCGTAAATAGCAAAGCTGCCTGTTCCTTTATCTATATTAATGTAATAAATATACAAATGTCAATTATATTATAATCTGCATGAGAAAAAAATGATGATGAATTTGATCTGGACAGACGTGATCCTTTGATTTTGATCACAGAATTTATCACCCCACTTACTACAAACAGTAGGAAATGAAATTGAATAGAATGAATAGATTTTTAAACATCAAGCCTGGAAAGATAAGGAGCTAATAGAGGCCTGTATATTGTGTATGGCTTACCGAAAAAAGCAAATGGATCCTGGCCAGCAAAGAATTCTCTGAATACCTCATCTGGGCTACGGAATGTGTAGGTGAATGGGAAATCTGACGAAAAGTCGGAGCTGGAGGGACCTGGGAGATAAAGATGTTGAGGTCAGGTGGATGAAGAAGGAAGAGAAAGAGTAGAGGGAGAAGATTAGATTGAGGAGTAAAATGAGGGAATAGTGAGGAGAGGAAAAATGGAGAAGAGGGAAAGAATAAATAGAGGTAGGTGGAAAGATGGTGATGGCCAAGATAGAAGAGGAAAGGAATAAAATGGAAGAAGAGAAAAAAGAAGGATGAGAAAAACAGAGACCAAGCAAACTATCAGTCCTAAAATTTTGCTTTTATAAGTAAATAGCATTAATGTGACTTTGAGTTGTATAAAACTATACCGATAATGGATGCAACAATATCACAGCACCACAACAACAGCTTTTTATTTACCTGTGTGTCCCATTCTGTCGTTTCCATATCTGTCATACTCATCACGTTTACTCTCTGCAAAGGAAAAGAAGTAGAAGCAAAGGAAAGAAGTCAAGTTTAATGATGTAAACAAAACCCTGTCAATTAATACAAATACAAACACCCGAAACATGTTAAATCAACTAACATGTTATACATTTACTTAGATTTATTACTCACAGCATCAGATACAGATCAACTGCTCAGCCAAGAGCCCAGAAAACACACACACACACACACACACACACACACACACACACACACACACACACACACACACGTACTCTCAGAGAGGACTTCATAGGCCTCAGCAACTTCTTTGAATTTCTTCTCTGCTTCCTCCTTGTTGTCTGGATTTTTGTCGGGATGCCATTTCAGAGCCAGTTTTCTGTACCTACAGTCAACACAAACAGAGACATACACACTCATATACAAGTGCACAAATGATATGCACTAAACATGACACCATTCCATTTCCATTAACCAATCTGTTAATGGTGGTGTATTTTTGACACTGTCAATTGACAATGTTTTTAAACAAGACTTTTTAAAATGATTTCAAATGTTAACTACAGTTCCTAATTACTAGAGACATGGAACTAAGAAATCGCTGCTTCTGAAGAAGCCACTATTGTAAAGGCTTAAATGTGACACTGCAAATATATTCTCAGAATTTATTTTGTGT